TGTATATATATATATATATATATATATATATATATATATATATATATATATATATATATATATATATATGTGTGTGTGTGCACACACAAAGCTTGCCAGAGCAGTCTGTGAAATAGAAACAAAGTCTCTGAGACACAAGCCACTTGACTTCTCATTTCCTACACTGTGTTCAGATGAAGTTGAATAATCTATCAAAATGAGCTTATCTTATCTCCAGGGAAAGTAATTGGGGTCAGGTAGTGTAGTGCAGTCAACATTTCCACTTCGGCAGATGTCCCTACTTTTTTCTCACTTCAGGCACTATCAGACTCTGGAAAACAATGTAGAAAATATTGTTCCTGAGGTCAAACACATTAACAGAGAGAGGATCTACTATACAATCTGCACGGGCACAAATTGTTTGGGCTTTAGGGATGCCACATTGTATTCTGATTAAATGTGCTCTTATGGCTGTACCTATTTCCATCTTGTAGATGATGATTTAGATTGCAGGTCATGCTGCTCCTGTTCCTGTAGGTAGTGTAAAATGAAAGAAAATTTGCATTCAGCATCAGCAGATGTTGTCATATACTGTACTTAAATTCTCTTAATCACCCTGCAGAGCCATGCAAACACGTTTTGCATGTGTAAATCAAAGAATGATACATTTTGTCCTTCAAAACCAAAAAGAAAAGCTTTCTACTGTTCTCCAGGTTGGAATAAATTGTTTCTCATTTATATCACTGGCTATTGCATATACTCATTGAAGTCAGATGTCTAACTAAGGAAAAATAAATAAATAAATAACCACATTTACATACGTGCAGTCGGTATCGATCCACTAAGATCTGAGATATGCACTCAGCAGATTCTGAATCACCATCATTAACATTAATGGCATAACATGCCAGTTTTAGAGACATGCCGGTAAAAGCACCACAAGTAAGTTTATAGCACACTTAATTATTTTTTTTAGCTTTTTTGCACATAACACAAACTACCATAGGGATTATAATTTCTTGTGTAAAGTATTTTTTGAAGTGCTGAATTTATTATTTCTGCACATGCTTTAGAATGAAAATTTGCAGTTTTATTAGTTTTTATGATTTTTTTTTTTTTACCTTTGAAGTTGATTTTCTCAACATACCCCCATAAAAATTTTAATATGTTATGGATCCTATCTTCCTTTAAAGCATCAAGAAATCAAATTAATCCCTACTATGAGAGAATTAGAGTTTATGGTTAAGCCGATGGAGGTGAACCATGTCTGTAATTGCCACATAATACTGAAGCATGACTTGTTGGAAGTGAAATGTGAAAACTGCTTTGCCATCATTTTCTTTCTCATATATGTGATTTCATGCAAATCTTCAGAAAAACCCTTGGAAAACTGGTAATGGCTTAGACTGTATAATGACTTTTTATGCCACATTTCACTAATAGGCGATGGCAACCACCTTTTTTGCCTGAACACCACATCAAAGGTTTAAAATTTTAAATTTACTAAAATATTTTGTGATTTATAAAAGTATTTGTCTAAGAGTTCAAAAGTGTAACAAATAATTAAATATAAATCTTGACAACCAAGGATAGATTATATTTTTCCTAAGTGATATTTATTAATATGACTCCACTTGAGTTTGACACTTCCTTTGTAAAATGTGTTTCCCAGTATTTAGTTAAATGTGAATGAGTTGTGACTTTAAAATTTTCAGTTTTATAAAAAAAAAATTGTGTTGGAGGGGATAAAGTTACACTAACATGTATGCTATACTCCCAAATCTACTTTGCTGATGAACTTAACAATTGTCAAGGCAACATTTCTAAGTTATTTCATCAGAACATAGTGCATTGATTACAAAATCAAACAAAGACTGCCAATTATATTCTGTAAAAGATTTTGTTTAAAAAAATGTTGTCTTGGATTTTAGGTAAGATCAGACCAAGGAATGCAGACAAACATGAAGGCACTCAAAACAAAACTTATATAAAAAAAAAAAAGACTGGTATAGCAGGGCAGCACGGTGGCGCAACTGGTAGAGCTGCTGCCTCTCAGCGAGCAGGTCCCTGGTTCAAACCCCGGTCCAGGGGCCTTTCTGGGTGGAGTTTGCATGTTCTCTCCGTGCATGCGTGGGTTTTCTCCGGGTACTCCGGTTTCCTCCCACAGACCAAAAACATGCATGTTAGGCTGATTGGTAACTCTAAATTGTCCCTAGGTGTGAGTGAGAGAGTGAATGGTTGTTTGTCTTGTTTGTCTCTATGTGGCCCTGTGATGGACCTGCGACCTGTCCAGGGTGTACCCCGCCCCTCGCACAGTGATTGCTGGACATGGGCACCAGCGACCCCCGTGACCCAAAATGGAACAAACGGGTAAAGAAAATGGATGGATGGATGGACTGGTATAGCAGCAACATTACACCATACATTTACACAAGACACCACAGAGCACAACTAGACTAGGCATGGAAAACAAAATGACAGACTATAGAGCAGTGAGGACTGAACAACTATATGGGCTGAGAAACAGAGACAGTGGAGATACTTGGGCTTAATGACAACCAGGAACAGGTCACAGTGGGCGAGGCGGAAGTCTGTGAAGAGAAATGACAGGAAAAGTGATGACAACACAGAAAAAAAAAAAAATAGAAAGGAACATAACTAAACATAAAGATTAAAAAAGGCAATAAAGTGAAAACATAACTAAAAAAAAGGCTAAGAAACAGTAACATGTATTTTAAATACAGAAAAAAAAAACCGATGATAGCATGTAGATTATAAAAAAAAATAAGAAAACTTTAATTGTTTATAGAAACTTTTTTTTTCAATCTGTCTAATTTGACAAAAAAAAAATCAAATACTACAATTACTCTATTATCTTTTTTCTTCTTCAGACTGCAACTATACTATTTCTACAAAAAACACATAAAAACCAGCTGAGCGATGGACTGTACAATAAAAGTTACCGTAATAAAAACTGATCTTTTTAGTCTTTTGCTTCTAGTTTGAAACCAGAATTCTAAGATTGCCAAACAAAAAAAAAAGTATTGTTGAAAATCCTCAAAAAAGAGATCATCATAAAGTAATCTGACCGTAAAAAATATGTAATATTTAGTCTACAATTGTGGATGAGATTAATATCTATATCAGCAGTGAATTATTCAGAACTAAATGTTTGTTTACTCCAATGATAGTTAGTCATATGAGCTGGACCAATCAATACTGTCTGAAAAACAAACAAACAAACATAAAATTAGATAAATCTCAGTAGTTTTATGTTAAAGAAATATTGTAAATAAAGTTCAGCTAAAGAATAAAAGACAATGAAGAAAACCGTAGCTAAATGTGCAATACATCGCTCTCTTTCTCTCTCCCTCTCAAAAAAAAAAAAAAAAAAAATCATGTTAAAGCGTTTTAGTCAGTACCAAACAAACAAACAAACAAACAAACAAAAAAAGGAAGAAGAAAAAAAAAGAGTCTCTCTCCATCTCTGCTCTGGTCAGCATGTCAGGTTGCTTGCTCGTGTCAGGCTGTCGGGTGGCAGTGAACCTGTGAATGACTGATCACCAGACGGAGTGCAAAGAGAGGTGATGCCAAAACATCTCTGTGAAAAAGGCAGTGGTTGTGCACGTCAATCAAAGCTGGCTGTGATCTTTTGTCAAATCAAACAGTTACACCAACAAAACTGGAA